CCACAGAGAACACTGTGTCCATGACACTGATAGCAGCAGCAATGAGCGCGCAGCTTGATTTCAAAAACAACAGATCTCTTATTTAATAGCGAACTAAATGAATGCTCTGCTAGTTAACTGGAGATACCCTCAAATTACGCCTATGAACGACTTCACTGGATCTAAACAAATCAATCTAACCATAGATGTTACCAGTGGCGGTGGCTTTTTAAAATCTATTTAAAATATTTTTCGCAAGGGTTCTACGACATTAGTATATATTTTTAGGAAGTCCAATGTGCCCAGTCGAGTTCACATTTCAACTGTCAACCTGGTAGCTGAAGTACTCTTTAAACCACATTTAGCATAATTGTTTGTTTGATCTGACTACAGCACTTTAAAGCTAAATGTAAAAGCTTTTTATTTAAGTTTTATTTTAAACTTGAATTAAATGTATTTGAAAGCTGGCCAAAGCTTGGCACTTTGCACTTTTTAGTTGCAAAAGTTTTTATTTTTGTATGAAGACATATAAAGTAATATCAAACTACATTTAATTTGTTGTGTTTCTTTTCTTTTAAATTATATCTACTGCAATCAATCACATAGGAAAAAGTAAACTACATCTATATACTGCAAATCGTTTTTTGAATCGAGAATCGTTTTTGAATCGAAAATCGATTTTGAATCGAATCTTGAGACAAAAAATCGGTATCGAATCAAATCGTGACATTTTCTGAATCGTGCACCCCTAGTAGAATCATAGGTCTACAACAATCAGTAAAATTATTATCAAAGATAAGACTCTACATGAGCTCAGTGAAAGCCCACTTCATGATGATTATATCATCATCAATACATAACCAACATCACCTGATTCACTTACTCTCTGATAGTCTTGCCATAGCAACCGTGTCTTATAAACACAGAGTTACAGCAGCCAGAGAAACTAATGTTAAAAAGTAAATGGTCAAGAGCCCAACTAAACAAAAAAATATCACCATTATGGTAATTTCAAATGAAACAATAAATAAATCAACATCTACACCTCTGTTAATTCTCAAACAGAAAGTAGATGTATGACAGAAATAAAGTCTGGTTAGTAATAAGTGAGGCTGGTAATGCTGTTTGTGGAGTTGTTTAATCCTTCTCTGCTGAGATCTTCAGAGATTTAATGTCTTCTTTTATCTTCAGTTGATCTAAGGCTGTGGCTGAAGTCAGTTGTAGTTCTTGTGTTTCTGCTCATCTCTTCTCTTTTTTCTGTTCTTGTTGTTTCTCTAAATTGACATTCCCAGAATTCCCTGCGTGACACTTCACATTTGATGTTATTTCATTAAAACATTTATGTTTCTGAGTTCTGCTCAGTTACTGGGATTTTCATGCACAACCATTTCTAGGGTTTACAAGAATGGTGTGAAAAGGGAAAAACATCCAGTATGCGGCAGTCCTGTGGGCGAAAATGCCTTGTTGATGCTAGAGGTCAGAGGAGAATGGGCCGACTGATTCAAGCTGATAGAAGAGCAACTTTGACTGAAATAACCACTCGTTACAACCGAGGTATGCAGCAAAGCATTTGTGAAGCCACAACACACACAACCTTGAGGCGGATGGGCTACAACAGCAGAAGACCCCACCGGGTACCACTCATCTCCACTACAAATAGGAAAAAGAGGCTACAATTTGCATGAGCTCACCAAAATTGGACAGTTGAAGACTGGAAAAATGTCTCGATTTCTGTTGAGACATTCAGATGGTAGAGTCAGAATTTGGCGTAAACAGAATGAGAACATGCTCCATCATGCCTTGTTACCACTGTGCAGGCTGGTGGTGGTGGTGTAATGGTGTGGGGGATGTTTTCTTGGCACACTTTAGCCCCCTTAGTGCCAATTGGGCATCGTTTAAATGCCACGGCCTACCGGAGCATTGTTTCTGACCATGTCCATCCCTTTATGGCCACCATGTACCCATCCTCTGATGGCTACTTCCAGCAGGATAATGCACCATGTCGAATCATTTCAAATTGGTTTCTTGAACATGACAATGAGTTCACTGTACTAAAATGGCCCCCACAGTCACCAGATCTCAACCCAATAGAGCATCTTTGTGATGTGGTGGAATGGGAGCTTCGTGCCCTGGATGTGCATACCACAAATCTCCATCAACTGCAAGATGCTATCCTATCAATATGGGCCAACATTTCTAAAGAATGCTTTCAGCACCTTGTTGAATCAATGCCACGTAGAATTAAGGCAGTTCTGAAGGCGAAAGGGGGTCAAACACAGTATTAGTATGGTGTTCCTAATAATCCTTTAGGTGAGTGTATATTGTTTAATGAATGTGTATGGCATTATTTTGGAGTCATGTGCGTGTCACCATGATGGTGTTTTGTATTTGTGTGTATGACACTGTGCACCTTCTTTATATTAATATGTGCCTCAGATTGTGGAAAACGAATGGTAATAAACTTTGAATCATCATGTGGTTTTCTTTTTTACCACCTGTATTATTATGGTGGTTATCACTATATTATAAATGTATAAAGCAGAGTTTAATACATTAGTGAAATTGAATAATAACGTTTATCGGCCGATGAAATTTAGGGTTGTCCCGTAAAAACGTCTCGGTTAGAAGAGGGAACGAGTGTTGCGTAACCCTGCCGAGCTTGTGCTACCATCTGGTTTCGCTTCAGTTGATGAAAACCAAGGAGCATCGAGCTCTGGCTTATATAGGCATAAGCCACACCCATTCGCGCGGGACGTGACGACTGAGGACGCCAGCGCCCTTTATTGGTGCTTACGTCACGAGCAGTCCCTCAATAGGTTGCAGCAGTTGCCGCCAATAGGCGCACGAGCTGCCTCGCCTAGGTCTGCTCGCTGCAGCAAATGCGTTTTAAATTAATACAAATTATAAGGATAATTAAAGTGCTTCTCTTCATTCAAGTGGATGAATAAAATGGCCCAGCGTTTAAAGGTCATTTCGGATAATTGAAATCACAATCACACAAAGTTTACCGGTATTTTGGCACTGATGTGTGAATGGTATCTTACCAGTAAAAAGACGTAACGCAGTTTCTTGAACAGCACATTTGTGTATTTACCAGAAAAGTCATTCTGGTAATTTTACGGTAATTTACCGGTATTGCTGTCTGAAAGGGGCATTTGTCTCAAAAGAGTAGGCCTATGTGATTTAATAAAGTGGACTAACTAGTTGACAATTTCATTGGGAAGCATCTGAAATGTTGGTTTAGTCTGAAATGGCCGAGCCAAAGCATGTCAAACGGTTGGGTATATTCACCTCCCAGAACTGTCTCACACAATTGTGTTCCCAAACATCAGGCTTCTGCCTCTGAAGGCAAGATACAGTAACATGACAGCGTGTATTGAATTTTGTCTGCACACTCTGAGATGCAAGTAATTTATAATGTATGGAAAAAAAAGAGCAACAGTGGATTCCCCAATTGCAGAAACTTTCTTTTTTATTACATATATTTAGCACCAATTTCTCAGGAAGTTTTGTTCTCTTGGACACAGGATGGAAACAGTGCTTTATATTCGCAAATATTTTATGCGATATTCCAATTTTTTTAAACTCACAAGTCACAACTTTGGATGGAAACAGCTAGTGTGCGCTAATAGACAAAAGACCTGTAGTGAAAGACTTCACTGGAAATTACAACAGTCTATGTATCTGTGACCTCGGTCAGTATACTGTTTGTCATTTAGAACTTTAGATAACCCCTGAATAGATACTATCACACAAACATTCAAACATGAACTGAAATAGAAATGTTGACATTCAAAATTCATGTTCTCCTTTTCTGTTTCTCTACCCTGAACATCAAAAAAAAAATTTCTTGGTAATTTTATAGTTAGGTTATATTTCATCACATAAAGTAACATGATTTCACACAATAGTTTATGAAGTAGGCTTATCTGAATCTACATGAATTTATGAAACGACAAGCATATTCATGATGAAATAATGCTTGTTAATAGTCACTTTCTATAAAAAGCCTTGAAAAAACTTTTAAGACTTTAAACTCTTAAAGGTATATTTCACCAAAACCCCTCGTGGTTTGTTTTATTACAAACATTCTTTAAAATATCTTCTTTTGTGTTCAACAGAAGAAAGAAACTCATACAGGTTTGGAAAAACTTGAGGGTGAGAAAGTGATGACAATTTTCAAACTATCCCTTTAAATGGTCAACAAGGTAGTGAAAGGACTTGTGATATGACTCATGATATGAACTAACTGTCAGATGTACTGTTTCATTTTCAATAAACATTCAAGAAATCTTAGGTTAAATATTCAACAATACGCCCGACTGGGTAACATTGTTGTAAGTAACAATGCTGCAATTTAGCTTAAATCAAGTAATTATTTTTTTATTATAGTAATTAATTTCTTTAAAAAATTGTTTGATAATTGTATCTTTGGTAGCCATGTCGAATAGTTTCAGAAATGCTGTCAACACTACAATTAGTGTACACACTTATCAAATGTACTGACATTATTTACTTGTCTTCATGTCATGCTGTAGAAAGAGTCCAAATGATATCAATTTGAGTGTAATAGTTTCTTTTCTTTTTTTAATAGAGGGAACACCATGCAGTGACAAGGTAAATATTATGTTTTGGTCATTAAAATAATTAAAATGTCTGTGAATTGAATTCTTGGATACAACAGAGAAAGATCAGTGAGGTGAGGCTAAAATTTATCATTTTGTTTGATGTGTTTAAACCAGCTACATTTCATGCTGTGTTAATTGTTAGCTGTGGTAATTTTATCACTGGATTTTTGGCTTTTACGCAAACTTGGATGTTTTTAATTCATCACGTTGGCTATTTGTCAAAACTTAGTTAGACGCCTACTTAGACTGCATTGTTGGGCATTACAAGCGCGCGTTAGAACACGTCTATAGTGACCACATGCTGTCTAGGTAGACAGCAAACTAGGAATTGAGTTACAGCCAACATGAACGGTTAGAGAGATGCGGTTGTGAATTGAATTGAATTGTACTCACTCTTGAGCGCGCAGATAAGCTGGTGTCCATCTTTAATCAGTTCTTTGATGAACTTGTTGGTTCGGTCCAGCTCGATCTCGTGACATTTAAGTCTCTCTCTAAAGTCCGGACTGTCCACAAAAGAGTCACTGAACTCTAGAGTCGGCAACCCCATTATCAGACCTGAAATAAAGCCTCACAAAACAACTCAGTATTTCCTCAGGCTCAGACACACTAACGGATCCGTGTCATCATCACCATCATCATCATCATCCACAGTCAAACGCGGGAAGAGTCGCTCGCTCTCTTGCAGAGATTCATGCGAAAGTTTCTCTTCACTTCCGCGCTCTGAACTTTCATCAAGTCAAACTTCTGCAGTCAGCCTGAGATCATGAGACTCCTGCTGGTTACATTACATAGCACCCAGAGATACGCCATTTGTAATGGCTTTCAACACAATTTTAGTAAACAATCTATTTATCAACATTTTATGTTAATGTGACATTCATTAATACTTTATAAAAGTTATTTGGTATTTAAACACAAAAAAAAAGTCACAGAAAAAAAAACCCATCAAGATAGGCATGTCAAGGATCAGAACAAGTATAGGTAGCTCCTTATTAAGGTAACAATTTCTTATTTTCACTTCACTTACAGTGTAGAGAGGACAACAACATTCAGTGATAAATACGATATGTGGGTGTTTCTGCAACTACGGGCACTTTTAAGTCCCAGCAGTGACATTTTTGATTTATGCTCAAATTTGTCATTTGATGTTTCATAAAATCCACAGTGCCATTACACACCTTGACAAAAAATTGAATTACTGATTAATGTGATTAAATATAATATTATGAAGCATTTATAGCTCAAAACACCATTTTTGTTAATGTCCCACACCTGTGGTCTCAATGTTGAGATACATAAAATAAGCTAATTTAATTACAATTTTACATTATTTCAAATGGAATTGTTTAATATACAGATTCATTTACAGCACCTTAAAATTCTTTGTATTATTTACTGATCATTTGTATGATTTTTTTAACTAAATGTAATGTGCCTGTCCCACACTTTTGAGTCCTTACCGCAACAATGAAAAAAAGCTTTTATTATGAAGTTTTATCGAACCCAAACAAGTCTAGTTTCTATGGAAACAGAAATTATCACTTGAGCACATTGCTGACAGACTGGGCCACCACACTACCTCACTCACAAGATACCAAAAAAATAAGGTAAACATCATCTTTTCTGCTCTAGTATTTATTGTGCGTCCTTACTATTCAGCTTAATAATTGTGTATTTTGAACTACATTTTAAAAATAAATGTATATTACTGTTGAATTCATGTATATCAAGATGCTAAGAGTCAAAACTAATGTGGTAGGCCTTGCTGGCTGCCAATTAGCTAAAATATTAGCAAAAATGTCATTTCCGCAACATGTCTTTACCGCAGCAAATTTAGGTGTTGCGGTAAAGACCTTGTGTTGCGGTAGAGACAAATTTAAGGTTTACTGTATATTAAATTACTAATATTCAGTATATTATTAGTACTAAAGCATATATTAGTATATATATAAACATGAATCATCAACTTTAGGAGACAATATTTTTGAAGCAGTTAAAAGAGTAAGAGTTAATTAAAATAGTTATTTACTCCAAAACTGCTACTATCTTTTACACATGCAATAGGCCTAGCTTTTGTTTTCTGTAGCATGTTTCTTTTTTTTTTCTAGCCTGTTTTTGATTTCGTGGTAGTTTAACATTGTGTCCTTACCGACACAAGATGTCATTACCGCAGCACTGCTCTATTTTCATTTTTTTATCACATTTTCATTTGCAAATAATATTTTTACACTTAAGCTGAGATGATTAACACATTGAAATTGCAACATCTGTCATAAAAAGTTAAATATGTCATCTTTTGTGTGTATGGAGACAATTGACATCTACTGTACATTTTTTACATGGCATAGAAAAAAAACATGAAATTCCCTATTTTGTATATAATTTTATTATATCAGTATTTACAAAACTGTATCAAATTTGAAAAAGCTATTTAAATATATAATTTTTTTATAGAAATTACTAAAGAAAAATGTATAAAATGAACGTTATTGTAAAGTTGCGGTAAGGACACTTTTTAAGAAGATGACCCGAAAAACATAAAAAATAAACATGTTCCAGATTAAAATCTTAACGACTTCATTTTGTGTACATTTTTTTATGTATTACAGACTGTGATGGTTAAAATTGAAATTCATAGAGGTTGATTTTTTTTAAATTGGGATAGTCAAAAGTGCCCGTAGTTGCAGAAACACCCATGTACACTACATTTACTTTTACATTTTCACATATTTAGATAGGCCTAGCCTGTTTAGTAGGGGTGCAACGATACCCTCATGTCACGATTCGATACATATCACGATACTAAACTCACGATACAATATTATTGTGAATGCGATACTCCAGGACATATGATAAAAGATGAACAAAAAAAAATGTTGTTTAAAATGCTAAATTTGATATTACATTGTGGGTATAGCTGATAATACAGAATTATTTTAGACGAATATGCTTGCACTCTTTCACTGACTAGATACAGTATATTTAAAATAATGTTGGCCACTTTTTACTGGTAGAAATTTGGCATTATCAGGACCCACAAATATCCCCCCATGGCATTATTATACATTATATTCAAATTTTATATATAATAGTTTAATGTAGTACTGATACTAAAACTTGAATTTTTTCTCACACAGAAATGTTCATTTTGGGTGAATTATACACAATAAATATTGTCTCTATCCACGATACATATTGATGCATTTTTGTATTGCGATAAATTGTGACACAACATATTGTTACACCCCTAATGTTTAGAGTGTGCAGGATGAGGATGCATTAGCCAAGGTGGTGTGGGAAATAAATAGACTGTACACACATTTGTTAGTTATCATAGCACAAAACTAAGTGTCATATACATGAAAATTTAGTTGAATAATTTATAAACTGTAATTTATGTTTACTGTAACAGTAAACTGTTGACAAACAAAGCAGAATCCTAGAAAAAGAAATTCATCTGAAAGGTTATTCTATAACTCATGTAAAGGCATAAACAATTATTTCACTCAATTAGCTTTTAATATAGCGATGTCTGAAATGAGAAAAAAAGTATTACATTAAAGATTATTATTAGGAACACCATGCCACTCAGGCTTTACCTTTTTCAGGTAAAATAAAGATAATATGTCCACAAATAAAAAACAAAACAAAAAACAAAACATTAATGTGTCCACAAATCCATCATTAATAAACAGACACAAAAACCTTTGATAATCAACATTACACAAAGTCACAGATCACTATTTTCTATAGACACAAAAGAAAAGCCTGTTTACACAACACAGTTTTTAACTAAAAATGGACAATTTGTATGCTTTTGGCTGTTCATTTACACGACAACAGCGTTTTGGGTGCAAGAAAACACAAACTTTTGAAAACAGGTTTCAAAGTGCACATTTTTTTAAATGATACAAAAACGGTGACGTCATACTCATGCGTATTACGTGTCCACGCTATAGGTGCGTAGCGTTTCTTTACAAAGTGACATCGCCACCTACTGGCCTGGGATGCATAATACAGCGGTTTTAGTCGTTTTCGCAGATCTTTGTTTACGAGGACCGCTGTGATAACATTGTCGTCTGAACACTAAAAATTCAAAGGAAAAACGTTTCCGTTTTTAGTACATCGTTGCCATGTAAACGTACCCTTAATCTCAAAAATTTTGATATTCAGATGAAATGACAAAATTAAAGACTCCATGAAATCAAAATTGACAAATAAATGATTGTCTGTATAAGGAACTTTTCTCTTTCCCCGCCATTGACAGACATTTCCTGATTTCTGTGTTTTAACCGTTATGATAGGGGGCGCTATGACACATCTTCTGAAAGATTACTAAATCTCCTGATCAAAAGACATGTGAAGAAGAAGCAGAAACGAGGGACACACTTAACGACTAGCGACTATTCTAAGACTGAACTGAACACACTTACAGACTGTTTCCATTGACTGGAGCAGATTGTAAACACAGACTGTGAACACCGACTGAACGCAACTGTCTTTGACTCAACACGTTTGGGCATGATAAGTAACATTCATTATCGGCCTTCAGTCGCCAAGTGTGTCCCCCACTTAAGAACGCGAACATCAGCATATACATCATGAATGAAAACGTACTCGGTTACTAACGTAACCTCGGTTCTCTCTAGAGAGGGAACGAGTACTGCGTAATAGCTTACGCTAGGGGAAAACCTCTTTTCCACGAGATATTGAAGCCAAAAATTATCCTTAATTTTTTATTAATGTAAAAAGCTTTGCAGCAGCAAGCAGACACAGGCGAGACAGCTCGCGCGCCTATTGGTTGCTCTTGCGGCAAATGCAGCAGCCTATCGAGAGACTCTGCGTGACGTAATGACCAATGGGGGCAACCCGCGCCTATATCGTCACGTCCCGCCAGAAAGGGTCCCGCCATAAGCTCTCAGTGCCCTGACGGGGCAAAGGAGACTCGCGTCCTCCTCCTCATTGAGAACCGGAAGGGCAGACTTTAAAATTACCTGGAAATTACCTGGGCCCTAAACGGTGTATTGAGGGATTTCGGCACATACCCGTGCTTAGGTTTGAGGATGACCTTCGAGTCATTAGGCCCAAACTCCATACATGACGCGTTTACTGAAAGCGCTTGCAAGTCCCCTATGCGCTTCACTGAAGCGAGAGCCGTGAGAAACACTGTTTTGAACGACAGGTGTTTCATGTCCACCAGCTGGATTGGCTCGAACGGGGCGCCTTTCATGGCCTCCAGGACCGTGGAAAGGTCCCACGTCGGGACTGAAGGGGGCCTGGGAGGGTTTAGCCTCCGAGCTCCCCTAAGGAAACGCACGACTAAGTCGTTTTTCCCCAGTGACTGGCCAGACACCGGTTTTGCAAACGTTGCTATGGCCGCCACATATACTTTGAGCGTGGATGGGGTCCTGCCCTTATCCAGTAGCTCTTGAAGGAAGGAAAGCATTTCCGAAACCCCGCAATCCACAGGTGAAAAGCTCTGGGCTTGACACCATGCAGAGAAAACAGACCATTTCGAGGAGTAGAGCCGCCTGGTAGACGGAGCTCTAGCCTGCGCGATCGTGTTTAACACTCCTTCTGGGAGGCTAGCGGGTACCCGTTGATGGCCCACGCGTGCAGGGACCACAGCTCCGGGCGAGGATGCCAAATCGAGCCCCCCGCCTGAGAGAGGAGGTCTCTCCTCAATGGTACAGGCCATGGGGCAGTGCTGGTCAGCTGCATCAG